CCACCTTAGGTGTATGTGGCTGGCGCCTTAGCCGCTTGAGCCACAGGCGCCGAGCCAACCTACACATTTTTAAAAATGCACAGGTCCACATACCAAACAGTAGCTAATACACTTATTAGTATAGCACTGACACCAGAAGTAATGGCAAATGTATGGCCATAAGCACTCCTGGGGTTAGATTACCAAGGACACTCACTTTCTATATTCTCTAACGTTTAAATTATTATTATTGTATTTTGAGGGATGGCGCCTGTGGCTCAAAAGGGTAGGGCACCTGTCCCATATGCTGAAGGTGGTGGGTTCAAACCCAGCCGTGGCAAAAAAAAAAAAAAAAAAAATTATTATTATTGTATTTTGAGACAGAGGCACAAGCTGTCACCCTGTGTATAGTGCCACAGAATCACAGCTCACAGCAACCTCCAACTCCTGGGCTTAAGTGATTCTCTTCCCTCAGCCTCCCAAGTAGCTGGGACTACAGGTGCCCACCACAATGCTTAGCTATTTTTTTTTTATTGTAGTTATCATTGTTGTTTGGCAGGCCTGGGCTGGGTTCAAACCCACCAGCTCTGGTATATGTGGCTGGCGACTCAGCCACTTGAGCTACAGGCGCCGAGCCTAACATTTAAATTATTAAGGAGCATGTTTTGCTTTTGTCTCCTACCTGCTCGCCCCAAAGAGGCAGCAATAAAGAATTTTTCTAAGCAGTTCCTAAATCCAACTTACAACCTCCGAGTTGAGGTCAGAGAGACCCTATGGTGATGAGAAGATGTGAAGTGCTACAAAAGCTATGGAAGGAGTATCCCTAAATTCTCTAAAACAACGATAAAAACCAAAGTCTCTAAGTGAAATAAAGAGAGCAGGATTATGTCGTGTGCTTCAAGATATCCCTGAACGTTTTCCAACTTGCAGCAACTGTGCTGTCTTCTCTTTGTATTTATTAGGAGTCCTTCTTCCTTCTCTTTGGGCAACTGTTTGCTTAAGCTATTTCTGGCCCAAACTGGAGGATAATGGAAGATGTATATTCAAAATAACTTACAGTAACATCTAAATACTTCACAGCACCTAGAATAATATACATTTAGATTTAAGGCACTAACATTTAAAACTTGTAGCTTGTTCATTATTTTACCTTCCAGTTCTATATGTAGACTGTTTCTGAAGGTGTTTTTGAACAACGAAACAAAAACACTGTGTGAGCTAAAATCCTCCTAAACTAATTGGCAGGGACCTTATGTTGGCTAACCAAACTCTGATAATGTAGCTGCTATACTGGTAGGCTAAAAATCTTTCAAATAGGTGGCAGGTCCCATTTTGAAAAGAGCTTTAGTTCCGATTTTGAGAAGCTGAGTTCTCCGGAAGGCAAACGTCACTGATGTTTAGACACTAACCCCCTGCTTGAAGCACAGCAGTGGGGTTGAGAGG